GYGCGATTGGAGCAGAACGATGAATGTTGTCACTTTAAAGTTATTGCAAAACATCYAAACAATTCAGTTCTGTTACGTCTCCCGGGAGATTAGGTTTACAAATCATTCTTTTAATCTTTTGTATTTGGTAATCAATTTTCTTAAGCATTGTGCTGGTTGGTCAATCCTTTMATCAGTTTTTATCACTTCACTACACACATTGTAAACTTAGTTTGAAATGAAATGAAATATGCTATCCGTATATCACAACGAAGATCTATTCATGTCGAGTGATTTATGTAATTCGCTAACCAAGGTCTAGGGTTGCGCACATTAATAACGGTATGTAGAAGGACAGTCAATTTCTTCTTCTCCAGCTAAAATCACATTTACCGTGGACCAGCGGCAGATCATGAAAAAAGACTACGCGCCATCCAGGGAGAGTGCACATTTCCCTGAGAGAGAAGAAATAGTTGAAGGAGAGGCTAGTGCGTCTATATAAAGCAAAATAGAACGAATCGGAGATGTGTTTTTTATTTATTCATTTATTTATTTTTATTTTTTCAAAAGCAAACTCCGGTCTGACCACCCTGAGCCCGCAACATTTCTCGAGATAATTCTAAATATCTGTTCTCAATTCTACTCAAGGATAAACAAACCAGAAAATTGAAATTAAAGGAATCGGGGGTCATGTGATAGTTGCACATCRTGATTCAGAAAAAGGAGAAGAGTCTGGTACCTAGTATCAACCGCTGGACAAAAGAACCGCATTTTCCATGATGGAGGTCTTATCCGCGTGGTTCTGATTCAGAAATATTCCCSTTTTTGAAGGTTCTAAACGGCTTATTTCACCGTTATAGTACAAAAATGAGGACTTAAAAACGTTTAACAATAACAAAAACTACCAAGGCTACGAGAGCCGAAGTTAGAATGCCCACTCCAACGGTGCAAAAGAGAAAGAAAAAAMCCGGTCCTCCTGTTGGAACTACTTCTATTTCAAATGGCAATGGAGGGAATTTTACCGAGTCTGCTATGGACGAATTCCTAGCAAAGCAGGGCTTATATCGTAAACCGATAGCCAAGGATGGTTCTTGTCTCTTTAGAGCAGTATCTGAACAGGTGAGTGCTGTGTTATGTCTGTTAGTGTTGTTCTTTTGTGGCGTATGAAAGAACTCGCTAAATTATGTCGCTGGGAATGGTGTTGTGCCAATACGACCTAGAATTTTGTATGAAATCATTCATTTTGATACTGTGTACATCGTTATCTTCCGAAACACTCTTGATATTTAACTTCTGAGAAGAGTTCTAGCCGGAAAACGAAATTATACAAAGACGATCGTTGATTTAAAAAGTTCTAATTTGCCGGCCAAGGAAACATGATTAAACTTAAATTATTGTTGCCAGGGAATGTTTAAGTTTTTTATTGATTGAAATATTAGATTAAMTTGCAAAAGGCATTTTCTTCGGATTAAGATGATTGGCGACAGCGATAAATATCAAAATTACCTCTAGAGATTCTAGCTCTTGTTTTGAATGACGACATCTACTCATACTTGTTGTCAATTGAACTATTAGTAGCCTACGTTCGACTCTTGATCRAAATGTTGGTATCATATTAAAATAACAATGATTGTTTTAATTCTAACTATGACTTGTTTCTTTGAAAAAGGTCCACAACTGTCAAGCCAGGCATCTTGATGTTAGAAATCAGTGCATTGAGTTTATGCGTAAGAATAGAATGCAATTTGAAGAGGTAGGCTATTTTCTTTTTCGACAGAATCTAATTTGCATTTTTTTWAAAGTTATCATGGATCTATAAGCAGCTCTTTAATGCTATCAAAATGTACTTTAGGTGGTGAAGATGGGCTGTTTTATTATTATCTATTGTTGAAGCTTATTCCAGTAAATAATATAAACATGTGCTTGATTTAAGTTGTATATTTTGGAATTRTGCTTTATAGTAGAGTATAAGTATAAGAAGCATTATAATCAGCAGGTGTTAAGAAAAAATTATTGTCTTACTCACTTTAGGGAATTTGATTGTCTTTCTTTTCCAGTTTGTAGAAGGTCCCTTTGATCATCACCTATACAAGTTAAAGAATCCAAAGGTTGGYATCACATGATAATAATGAGAAATATGTCATCAAAAAGGAAGCTGTTCTTATCAAAACTTTGAATCATATGTTTGGTCAACATGTAGCTCATTTACGATTTTAACTTCCTGATACTGGTCACATTCAATTTATTGGTATAAGCCTAAGTGGAATTCTAAAAACAAGATCATTGGAAGTAACATGACCTTTTTCCAGGAATATCATTTATTTTGTCCCTTGCAGAATTATTTTCATCCCCATCCCATTTCCTGAAAATTGGAATTTAGTTGAAAAAAAAATTGAAAATTTAGTTGTTCTTATTAACAATTTGCAGGTGGTTTTCAAATGTCTGTAATCTTATTGACAATGAAATTGACGTCAAAAATGCTCAAAACTCAAGTGGAATSAYGAGCGTAAGCGAGTGGTTCACTGCAAAGTTTTGAGCATTTTTGATGTCAATTTCATTGTCAATAAAAGTKCAGACAACGRAAGACCACCTGCGAATTGTTTTTTAATAATAACTTGTCGATTTCTACATTTAAATCATTGTTTATTTAACGTATTCTGCATAGTTTCACTTGTAAATTGTTTTGCGTGACAAGCATGATTGCTGTCGCATCATTGCCATTGTATAAAGTCTCAGTGACAATAGAACTTGCCCAATCAGCATGCGCGAAATCTACAAGTTATTATAAAATGTTGTTTTGATTATTATATGTTCCTTTAGCTGCAAAAAATGCATTCAGGGTCATGTATCACCAAGGATTAGACATAGGTCCAAAATAATGTTGTTCGAGTCACAAACGATGCTACTCAAGTCRCTACAACATCTGTCATGACTGTTACTAAGGGAACCTATTTGCAAATAGTATTGTSATAATTGTTTWTTGGTTGTTAAGTATTTCCTTTGAACTGATTAGGAATGGGCAGGCCAAGTTGAGATCACAGCTTTATCAAAAATGTTCAGGTAAATRTTCATAGCTTGATTGCTTATGACTAATAAAATTTGAACCATTCTTGTTGTTCATACTGTTAAAGTAGATCTCTATTATATATTCATTTATTTCCTAAGTAACATCAATTATTAATGTGTATTGAAGCAGCATTTYCATTAATTGACTGCTAATACAGTGTAAAGTATAAAATCTCTTGCTTATTGACAAACATTCACTTGTGCTATTTTTATCCATTTTAAGACTAATAAGTTGTAATATTTTTTTTCCCATTTACAGGAAGGACTTTGTGGTATACCAGGACATTAATGCACCTCCAACCAAAGTGACTGACCATGGGTATAAAGACAAGGTACTGTCAGTCAGAGATTAGACTTATGCATATTATATGATCTTTGATAGTRTTTCAGCTCCCACACAGTGTCTGAACTATTAATAATCAATGTGTACTTTATAAATTGCTGTTATATTCATATCACTGGAAAATTTGTTTTCTTTCAATGCTCTCTCAGCTTGAATGAATCCAACATTTTTTTTTWAAATTAGTTGTATGTTTTGGAAAACAGACTCACATGTCATTAAATTGTTGAAATTTGTGATTGRCCTTCAAAGCTTTTAGCTCAATATTATATTTGTGTAATTGTAATGTTGTTATTGTTTTTTATGGTTTCCATGTCTTAAGTGGTTSTATTTGCAAGTAGATATTTTATCCAAATTTTCGATTTTGTTTTATGAATGATAACTTGCTATTGCATGAATAATGGTAATATTATTGCAATATATTACAGATCTTGCTGTGTTACTCCAATGGTAATCACTATGACATTATCTATAACAACCATTATCAGGAGCATGCCGCCATGTGTCAGTGTAAGTATAATATTCTGCTGTTCACCCAAATATAAGCCATCCTTCAGTAGGCACATCCCTAAGTACTGTAAGTCCCACATTTCAGAGAAGAAAATTTTTCTATCACTAAAATAAAATTGCAACCATTGTTGTATGAGTGCACACTAAGGCAGGAGGGAATTTTGTTATTTATCTAGATTCTCTCGTAATTATTGTGCTATAACATTCAGAGCTTTGGTTAATTGGTATATTATGATGATATGCTGATGGTAGCTCTGGTATATTAATTTRTATAAAATAAATATAAAGGTAGAAGATGTGTTCTTCATATGCACAAGAACTATACATAAACTGTGAATTTTGTGTATTTTGCTCACTTTCACCCCTGAATACAGCAATAAATGCTTTAATATAACACAGAACTCCTTATCMTTCGTTTTCAAGTTACGTCACAGMAACCATCTCGGAGGAAATTCAACAAAGGATTTCTCATTAGTATCWATTGTTCATTCCTCCAACATGRCTGCCAGTCTTTTATCTTTTGAATCTCATGGGAATGGTTGGAATCTATCAATATAGCTAGTTTGGACTGTGTGAGAAGAACTTTGTGATCGAAAGAAAAAAAAMTTTATGTGTTTTATAGTACTTCCTATTCCCAAATGTACACYATCTAAAGTTATCAATGTTTCTGGTTGCAGCTTTGCTGTTTGAGATGCTATACAACAAAGTGTTTGCAACGCTTGACAAGAAAGAGTCTCCAAAGAAAGGAAAACCTAGAGTCAGTAACAGTCAAGATAACCGCAAAAACATCATGGACTTGGTGAATGGAAATATGATAGAAGATAACRCTGGAGATGATGAAGGCTGGACTGGAGATGACGATGGTTGGACTGAAGTCAAGAGTAAAGCTAGAGGTAAAAGATACTTTGACTATGAAAGTCACTGACTGTTTGTAGTGACCATAATATTTTGGCTTTAATCAACTTTAAACTCAAATACAATCTCACTCTACCAAAGTAACAAGTATAAAACAACTGGCCAATAAAAGTGGGCTCAGTGATACAAGGAGCCCAAGTTATAAGTAAAGTTTATGTCACTGTTTTACCAAGGTTGTTTATAAAATGCTCACAAAATGGCCACTTTTGATTTTCTAGTTTAATAACTGCACACCAAATAATTAATGACAAATCTCCATCAGGGAAATAATGAATAATCACCCTCATTCTGAATTCTTATATGCTTGACCATTTAACCAGGATATTGAAATGTTTTTTTTTTAGTGCAATATACTCTTTTATATTCTAATTTAAATGGTTGTCAACAGTTAAACATGAAAGGCATTCAAAGTGTAATGAAGTAGAGGAAGAAAAAGAGCCAGAAGAAAYTAAAAACAAAGGAAACAACRACCAGAAAAATCTATGGGAGTTGAAGCGTTCTGTTGACCCTCACCTATACAGGAACATCCCATTGGAAGTTTGGGAGGAGGACAAACATGTCTTGCAGCAAAAGGATATGGCTGTGGCAGTATCATTGCAGTTTAAGAAAGACGAACGTTGTTGTGTGAGTGATTTAATTTTTTCCAATATATATTTTTGAAATATAGTTCTTCAGTAACATAAGCAAATCTCTTTTACAATATATTTTGAGGCAAATTTTTAGTCTTATTGCCAAAAACTAAAACTTTGACTTTGTGTAGGTCAAGCTTGGTCCACCCATTGTAGGCAATGAAAAGGTTTTTAATGCCATTATCAAGGAGGACTACACAGGGTCTGGAAGTATTCTGGTAAGTTATGTTATGCCCTGATGATATTATGTCAGTCTAGTAAGGTTTGTTTTAGTAATTTCTATATATTGTTGCTGGTAGAAGTGTTTTGTGCATAAGAATTTGTCCAATACTGTACATGTATTTTTTTTTGTTATATGGAGTGTCAACATTTTGCACTCTTTGACTGAATTGCACATGCATTTTTGAAAAGCCAAGAATTTCAAACATAAACCTACATGTAGCACTGTGTTTAGTAGATTCAAGATGACAAAATCTCATTTGAATAATGTTTMATTTGTTTTTGTATTTTTGTGTTGAATTTTGTATTCTAAACAATTTGTTTATTATATTTTATAGGTTTATGTACCAGACCTTGGCAAAAGGTATTTAAGTTTATCCAAGTGATTTTTGTTTTTAACCAAAAAAATGACCTTTAAGTTGTATTGTAGTTTTACCATGACAGCCATGTTTGTTACAGATGCACCCAGAACTTCATTTTAAATAGTGTGTGTTGAAATGCCCTTCTAAACAAAATGTCACTAACTCTATTCATTAATTCTCTAGGCATACTGTTCCTATTCAGACTGTCAGTAGTCAACAAAGTATGTAAAAAAAACTAACATTGTTTTTGTTGTCCATACTTAAATATGAATGCAAGTTATGTTTTAAAGTTCACTCTCTCAACCTTCCAGATCTTTAGTTGTTGGATTAGTTGTTTTTTTCTAAACCCTGGCTCATTGAGAATTTGTAGCTTGCATTATTTCCCTTATTCATCARTTTGCAACACATTGACAAATTGATGTCATAAGATAAGATTGTTTACTCTGTCACTATGATATAGGCCCAGGTTATAAAGAGTTAAGTGGACATTAYCAAAAGGATTTTAATGCCAATGGTCCAGCTACTGAAGAAGGTTGTGAATAATAAATTTATTCAAATAATTCATGAATAAACAATTATTGATAAATTGATTGATCGCCCAATTATTTTTTAAGCATATCTTTAAAGCTTTATTGAACTAACAACAATATAGTGTTTCATAAATTATAAGTTGTTTTATCAATTTCATCATTATTATCATACATAATGAAGTCTATAATGTATAATTTTTTAAGTTTGTTTTTACTGTTTCAACTTAGAGACACAATTTTGCAATAAATAAAATCACATGTTTAGTAAACATACCCTTTATTTTAGGTGGTAAAGATGACAGCAAGTTTAAAAAGAAACGGCCCCCTAGAAATCGCCGGGGACCAGGAAAGGTAAGACACGAGGAGAATAATATTGTTTGATATTTGAGTCGATAAATAGTGGTATGTGTTAGGTAACGTCTGATATAATTTTATTAGACCTCTTTTGGTTGTAGTGTTTTTTTATATATATTATATTTTTGTTTTTATTCATTTATTTTGATTATTTTGATTTGTTTATTTGATCTTTAGGGTGGAGATGAAGCTGGAAGTGTTAACGTGAGTTTATGTTTTGGAATATACAATAGACAGGGTTTTTTAATACTTTGATAACGTTTAGTGTTCTAATTGCTTTTGTATTTGAGTTTTCCTTATTGATTCAATAATAATTGTTGGTTGTGCTTGCATTTTTGATAAATAGTGCAGTTTATTTATGGCATGCTGRTTTGGGTTGAATGTTTTGATAGACACTGATGTTGCTGTATCAGTTTACAACTTATATTATTTTTAAGCAATTCTTAAAGCATTACAGTGTGTGTCCATGTTACATTTGTATAAAATTTCAGCCAAATTAGCAAAATAAACAAAAGTCCCTTGAAAATCCAATGTGACTGACTGATATTCCTTGAAATTTTGTTTTGCTTCATAAACAAATCATGACGCAGCTATTATTGTTCCAACTTGTAGGAGGATGTGCAGCCAAGGGGTAGAGGAAAGCCAAGAGAAAGGAACAGACATCGCTTTGCTGGACGTAAAGATGACAGAAACATGAAAGATATGAAAGAAGAAGAAGCAAGATTTATGGAAGTAAGAAGTGAAATTGTTTTACACATTGTAAAATACAGAATCTTTCTCTGAGAACTGGGGCTGCCATTGAAAGTAAAGTGACCCTATATTGGTGTAACTCGTCATATTCAATAAAGCAGACTACAGTATAAAAGTAAAGAGCATTCAACATAATATTGAAAGTGATTACAAAGTATTTTCTTGAAATTCATTCAAAAAAAGGGAAATATGCTGAAGGTGAACCCAATCATAATTTTTCTTTCACATTTACMATCCCTTTCTTTCCCATATTTTGAAATGTACATTACACTTTTGCAACTCTTATTCATGTTGTTCATGACTACAAATTGTTCATCTTTTTATATCTGTTGTTGCAGGAGCAAATCAAGTTAGTTGAACTCCAAGAAAAGGACACCACGGCCTTTCCTGCACTGCCTTCTTCTGGTCAGACAACTTCTCCTGTCGTGAGTCCAGACAAAAAAACCGAAGTATGTTAATTAATTATATATAAGTACATGTAATTATTAATTGATAATGACTAGGGCATAAAGCTTATGACTCAAAAGCAAACTTTGTACAGCTTCAGCTTCACATTCTATCCTATCCCTGAACATTTTTGTAGATATTAAAGAMCAAATGATTTCATTTTAGATAACCATTTCACCAATAAAAGAAACTAAAGTACCAGACACTGAAAAAARTCCCTCKCCAGTCAAAGAAAGCACTCCTGCAAATTTTTGGAGTAATTTCAACAAGAAGTCACCAAAACAACCCACTGAAGAAACTAAATCAGTACAAAGCGTCCCTGTCRCCAARCARCAAGAACCAGAGCACACAGACATGATAAATCCTAATTTAGAAACAGAAGTCCAACAAGGCGAAGAAAACCAAATTATACCAGAATCATTCAATAAAAAAGAAATTATCCAAGACAAAGAAATAGAGGACAATGAGCATTTGATTTTCCCTCMAGAAGAAACTTCACACTTTAAAAAACCACTGCAAATCAAACCTATCATGGATGACTCTCATCATGGCAGAACTGGGCCCGTGTTTGAAGTAAAAATTCCAGATCAAGATCTTATAAAACCAGTGAAATTAACCCCTGAAAATCTTATAGCACATACCGAAGAAGAGTGTACTAAATATTCAAAGCATATTGAAGAGGAAAGAATAGAGGAGCCTATTGAAGATGGCCAAGCTGAKGAGAATAGAGATGAAGATGTTGAAGAGCAAGAAGAAATCCTTCCTGAAAGTCATAGTAATGTAGAACTAGCAGTCCAGGAAGCAGCCACAGCTCTTGARGGGTCTGAAATRCARCAGCCAAACAACTTTTCACCTGAAAAACCATTTCTTCAAGAGCAACCAGATTTCTCTCAGGATGAGCAGTCTTTGAAGGGATCCAAACAACGAGACAATGCTTTAACACCTGAAAGAAAGACTGTAACTTTTGCTGAAGAAACAAAAGAGATACCTGATGTGCCTTATGGTCAGTCTCAAAAGGGCATCCTGTTTGTGAATGGAAACAGAGCAGAACAAGGTTAGTGTATCAATAAAACAATAAATTATCTAGTGGTTCCAGTATTGTGTGTGAAAAWTATACTTTCAGGCTTGGGTATGTTGTAAAAGAAGTATAGAAGTTTAGCTATGTTGTTCAATTATAWAATTTTGGCCTCAAATGGGATTTTTATATACTTTATGTGAATGGGAATTATTTATACTTTTTCATTATTTTGAACTATATYGAAACTATAACTCCTTGCAAATGTTTTTTTTTTACCTTTCCCGTGGTGATATCTGACACTGCATATGTATATTACAGGATACAAGGCAGTTCCTACAGATGACTATTCGTCACTCTCTAAGGTAAGATATATAGACCTTAGAAGCTTTTACATCATGAAGTGTATACGCAATGCATTGTAGGATATCTTTGGGAGAGAACATGGTGGATTTCTTTTGTTTTCTCTAGAAACTTATCCCACAATGCAATGCAAATCAAGTAGTGACGTAAAAGGTTCAGAAGTCGATTCATTTTTAATGCTATTTACATTATATTTTTTCTTCAAATTTGACATCAAATATACCTTTATCTTGTGGCTCTATTAGGATAACTCCAAACAAGATTACATGATGGTTCAAGAAAACCCAGATAAAGACCACCAAATGTTCCCATCAGGCATTGCAAATGATGGCATGCAATCGTCATCACCCATAACACAACAACAGTTGAATCCGTATGGTTTCTTTCTTCCTCCTAACCTACCTCAGAATGTACAACTACCTGCTAGACCATCTATGGATCCTAATGGCTCAGACCTGCCACAAGGTCAGACATGTTCAAATATTGCTGATTAGTTCGATCTTAAAAACCTTAATTTCCATAGTCTTTTATAGTTATTTGTTTCCATTTGATTTATTATTATTTAATTAAATATTATTAATTAATATTTGTGTTGCTTTATAGACATTCCTACTCTGAGGTATTTTTTCAATCTTGGCTACCAATATGTAAGTGCTACATGKATTTTTTTAACTTTAAGCAAAATAGTGCAAACACAGAAGAGTAAAAAAGTACAYCTTTTGCAGTTCATTAACCGCAAAGAAATATTCACACTAAAAGCCGTRAAAATGACAYCTTTTGCTGTTCATTAACCGCRAAGAAATATTCAATSGAAAAAGTATTGTTAAATTAGAGCGAACAACGCGAATGGAGTCTCAAAGAGCAAGAAAACTTTCATTAACATTTTGTGCGAACAATTAACGAAAGCATTTCTTTAGTACAGCATTTGGACATTTATGTACGCGATACAAGGGCACCTGAAAAGGCCCTGAAAATAGGAAAATCTAATAAAACTCCTAGGACACTTCCTKAATCTGTTTCTATTCCTGAATTTTAGGCTTTTTCATCACTGCTGGATAGAGTGATTTAAAAATGTGATTTAGAGAATAGTCCCTGAAGAYCGAATTTTTGTGCTTGAAAAGTACTTGAAAAGTCCTGGCATTTTGAGACAAAAATATAGCACGAACCCTTCTGATTGCATTTTACTGTTTATTGCATATTATATAGTTATTTCAAACTGGATATTAACCTTGAGTTGTGTTATTTCTGTTTTCTATCAGTACTGCCAGATGGTTACAGCCAATCAAATGGCCAATCAGCAGCTGCCATTAATGTACATGTATCAGCCTGGTTCATTACAGGATCAAATGATGCAGCAAGCAGCTCAACCTGTGGTCTCTGTACCGCAACAACAGCTTTATGGAGGCTTACAGCACCAACATGCTGCCTTTCAAGCTCATGGGATGCAGGTATGGGCGTTAAGTTGACTTGGTTTATAGAGCTGATTTCGTATGAGTGGGACACCGTTACCGCACGGTTACCGCACAGTTACCGCACCTGGCCTGCAGAATTTTGGTGAAACAATGGGGCACTAGAATTTGGTTACAGTACGATTACGGACACAGTACAGTACCGTCCGTTTCCCACTCATACGAAATCCGCTCTATGACTTGTTGATTATTTCCCATCAATCATACCCGAGACCCATGGTTCCTTTCGGCCATACAATCTCTAATGTGCAGCGACGCCATTTTATKCAGCAAAGGATGATGGTAGTTGTAGTCTCGTAATTGGCGATGTTATGTCYGGTAAAAGTCCTCCTAAGCAGTTTTTGCTTTTAATAAGCGAAATTAAAAGTATTTGTGCCGTTTCTAAAATTAAAGAAAATGTACAAACGGCTTTAAGGAGATATTTTAGGAGCTATGAAAAGTGCGAGGACTACAACTACCATAATACTTTGCTGCAGAAAATGGCGTTGCTGCACATTGCCTATTGGCGTTCGTCATTTWCAACGATAAATCGATATATACGTGGGTAGATGGTCAAATGGTTCTAGGGCGTAGCTGCTAGATTGATGTTTGATTTTGATTGTGTAATTTAACTTCACCGTTTCTTTTTTCAGAACTATTTTCATCACATGACCCCTCCAACAAGCCAAGAAAATGTTTCRCAGCTGGACCGTAGCGCTGACCGCAGTGCACAGCAGCAACAGCAAGTCCAACCCCAGTCGCAAATCCAGATGCCGCATCAACAGCAATCAGGGCRCTTTCAACAACAACAGGGTCAAATGCAGTGGCGAAATAACCCAGGCGGGAGCAGCAGACATATGAAATTCCAACACCATAACATGGGCGCCCAGTCCCACAGGCCTACAAACTGGCAGCAGGGGACTGGTAACCAGCGTCAGCAACACAACAGCAACAAGCAAAACAGAAAGACACAGTCAGGAAAGGCTCGCAATGATCACTATTCCCAGCATTTCAGCAACCCGCCCCATGCTCAAAGCATGTCTCATAATGCTGCTGTGAATTCATCGTATTACTCTGTACCAGGTGAACATCAGACAAAGGCACATAGTGCAGGAGAGATGTATCATATGTATTCCCCTTATACTACCGTACAACCCGTCATGCCCCACCCCACCGGCCCTAGGGGGAATAACTACTAGTCAATATCGAGAAAGAATAATTATAAAATCACTATTTTTAGTTGGAAAATATCTTCTTTTTTCATGTAAGGAGCCTTCGGCCATCTTGTCCCTTTGTTTCCTAGGCTCTGAAAGGAGCGAACAATTCTCTATGTAATTTATGTACAAAACGTCCAGGAAAACACGTTTTGATTACAGAGTTTCTTAGTGCATTCTTTATGTCCGTGAAACACTTCGTATGAAATTGCCCAAATTAAACCGTAGGAGAAAAGGGTTTTGGCACTGATTTGCACAATTTGTCAGCAAACCTTTTGACGAATACAACGAATGCTCTATAACAACCTTGCTTTGATTTCTGTTCCTCTGGCAACTGTTTTCCATAACAAACAGTTTAAAAAATACTTAGTTACATCAGTGTTTGTTGTGCATTTTTGTAAGTTTATTTTTCCTTAAAATAACAAAAAAATATATTATATATAAGGCATTACTGCCTTGATTTGAGCAAGAGATTTTCGGACATAGCTAGCTGGATTCAATGTTAGTAAAAGTGTTTCATTGAAAGTTTCTTTATATTTTAGGTATAAATAGACTAGTTTTGTCACAGAATAACTATGTTGATTGACTTTTCAACACGTACYTCTAGCAAGATTCTGGTATATTTTGAAATATCAGCCCAAAATTCAATTTTGATGCGTGTAAACTTCCACAACAGGGTCTTTCAATATTGCATTCTTCATGCTGCCTAGTAAACATAGAATTATTTCATTTTTTCAATTTTCATTGATAAAACTATTAAGTCTTGAAGAGAAGATTGTTGTAACCTATGTGAAGAAGCGTACTTTTTCGTGTGAACTTATCTTATCAATTGTCATCATCTTTTAATGTGCTCTCAGGTGAAAACCATTGAATATTTTCCTTACTCCGACCACTCGACTCGGTTTCAATATCTCGCGACGACTTTATTTAGTAAGGGAGGGGAGGGTAATATGTATTAGTTGTAAATGTTTTTGTTCCTAGCGGTTTTTATACACCTATGAAATAAAGACTTTTATTTTGGATGGTAATGGTAAACCTGTGAAATCATAAGTGCATCCAAGTGAAATCASTTACACTCAACCCGTGAAACAGGAAGTTAGTACCTTATTTTTGGAGTTGGTTTTCTATATTTCAGAAAGAATATTACACAGTTGCAATTAGTGTTTCACGGGTTTAGTGTTAAGTTAATGCTCTTATTGTTCTAACCTTTAACAGTGCACTTTGTTTCACGGATTTTCCAAATTCACTTGTAGAAATTATTTTATGTTTATAGTAAAGTACAAACACTAAAATCGTGAAAAACCAAATAGTGCGAGATAGCATAGTATAGTGTAGACGATGGGAAATAAAGGAATTAGCATAATATTCAGTACAGTTCAGCTGTAATTAGTAAAGTATTTCATGGTTTTAATGTTTGCGCTCTAACCGCTAAAATCTAACTGTTAGTCGACATTTTTGTTTGTAGAGTGAAGTCATTAGAGCCGTTAAGCAAATTTGACTATTAAARTGTGATAGTCGATTACTGACACATATAGTCCCCGGCAGTTCGAGGACGATTATGGAGTTTTGAGGAAAATCCAGTTTCCAAGGCCAACTGTCACATCAAAATTACTAAGATTTAAGTATTCTCTTATTATTTGTAAAGCTTTTTGACTTCACTCTGATACGTTTTGTATCATTGTCCAAAATACGATAGCACTTTACCCATGTTCGAAGTAAAACTCCACAGTGATATACGGTGGGTGGAGACTTGGCTTACTATCTAGATGAACATGGATTAAGTGCTTTAATAGCAGTTCTTATAAACTCGTGAAATGCAAGTGAGCTCATTTGGTACATCAAATGGGATAAGGTAGTTTCATTTGAAGTTTACGAATGAATAAGCAGATGATTATTCTAAAATGGGCGGTCATCCAATTTGATTTCATCCACTGAGCCATAGTTCTCTTGACRCTGATCAGGATAGTTAAGGGTTCTGGTTACGAGCCCACATTCGATTTTTTTTACAAAAGTCGAAAAACAAGCATTAAAGACGACAGGAAACAATAGATAATTATTTTGTTTCACAGGTGCTTCGTCTTCAATTCTTTTGTGCTCGCCCATTCGACCGAAATTTTGAAAAAAGCCTATGCCCATTCGACCGAAATTTTGAAAATGGCCCATTCAACATGGCGGCCATTAGTATGTGAAACTGCTGTACACTTTATTTCACAGGCTCATAAGACTGGCTAATGTAGATCATAATATAGGGTTATTTCCCACTACATTAATTTGGACATTAACTGTATAGATTAATATGTAGATGTAGCTAATGTAAGAATATGTTTGTACTGTGTTGTTTTGTGAATTATAGAAGTAAATTAGTTGTTTAAAAGAATCAAGAGAATATAGAATACAAACGACTGGACTTTTTATTCTTTTTTCATATAAATTTTAAAGGTTTACCCCCGGCTGCCGTTTGTACATTTGCAAGGGAAAGTTCGCGCTTTTTCTGTCAAACTGCAAGACATCATTAGACACCCATGATCATTTTCTCATTGTCTCAATTTTTTTTCTTTGAGCACCTCTTTATGAAGCTATGTGCTTTTGCTACAATGATTAGAAAAGTACCTTAATTTCAGATCAGAGGTTTCTCGTGAAAATCAATTTATTGTCGCTAGAAGTAGGGCAATATATGAAGATTTTAGCCAATTAAATGCCCTATTATCATTGGTCGGACAAAAATAGAACTTTTCAACATCTGATGGTACAAGAGGTATACTCTTCTATAGACATAGACTTGTTTGGTCTTGAGAAATCATTTGGGTAAACAATGTAGACAGGGTTATCAATAAGCTGTAGCCCCACGACACGGAATCATGAATCCGACAGAAAACGGAATCTGACAAAAACCAGAATCCAACTTAGTTACTTACGACACTTTGCATTTGAAGCCAATAAGGTGAAATCCAGAATCCTTGCGAAAAGTTTCATGGCGTCCAGTGAATACAGGAGTGCTCCGGATTCCATGTCATGGGGCGACGCAATTTTGTCGAACAAATATGAGTGTAAACCTAGTCTTCTTGCTTTTTATRTGCATGAAAATACTCCACAAAATCCTCTCGTRTTTACTCTGTAAGCAATTTGACCGTTTCTGTAAGGGAAGCACAAAAGCGGATTTAGGGGCAAATTRAAGCGAGCGTAGACTACATCTCCCATCGTGCTTTGCTGTACAAAATGGCGTCTCCGTGTGCATTGTCGTATATMGAAATAGTATTTGTGATATTAAGTCTCAGACTTATTAAKGCTCGTATAGTATTGTGCACTATATTACGATAAATGAAAAGTCAGCAATTCAGCCAGATAGTATCTTTAATTTTCKATCTTAAATGATCGACAACAAAGCCGCCGTGTATGCTAATTGAGTTGCGCGCCATTTAATTATCATGTGCARATCTCATAAAGAACATTCCTTTTAATCGCAGTACCGATCTATTAAAAAACGGTGTATATTAGGAATATAATTTAAAAAATAATATTGATAATGATGAATATCATGGAAGGGATAATGATCTTGATGTTCTGTAGCCGAGAGCGCATCCACTTCTTTTAATAATATATGAAACATTCTCTTTATTAGATTGATTGAACTAATGACACGTTTACTCATTAACGACAAATATTAGATTTGGTTGAAAAATGAGGCTAATTTACCGTCAACTGGTGTTTGCATGATATGATCCTTTCCTACCTTAAAGTATACGTGCTTGGAGTTTCAAGGACCCATCAAGAATTCATTTACGCTAAGTAATTTTTTCTCGCGGATGTCTTTTTTTTTACTTTACAAAGTTGRATAATAGCTCGAAATTTTCTTTGATTGTTGAAGTATAAAATAATATCCTGCAGTTCAAGAACTAAGATAATGTGTGAGATAAATGATTCATTAGCAGAGACCRCTTTAACCAATGAGAATTGCTGTTTTTTAACACTGTGTCCAAGTTATTTTTGCTATTAACCTTCAACAGCCTTCAAAATCTAACCATTCTGGCGTCAAAGTTTTCACAACTGAAGCCGATTGCTATTGAAGAATCTTTTTTTTTTCTTAGTTATCACCATTAACATAAAACGTTATGTATTTTGTTTATTCTTTTTTTCGTTGTTATCATTTACTTGCATCAGCACAACATCAAAGATCATATCTCTAATTATTTGCATTCTTCTTGTGTTATTCGAGGAGATTAGTGCTAGATTATATGCCGGTTTTTTTTCTTTGAGGCAGGGAAGGAGCTTATTTGCAAACTCTGGCGGAACTACTGCCTTTGAACGCAAAACGTATTCACAAAACATTAATGAGAATGCGCAATTAACCGATTTTTGCCCAACATCACTTTAGATTTTAATGAAAACATATTTTTGATTAAATCTAATGCTGGAACTGACAAATAGTAGGAGAATATTCAATCTATATATTAAAAAATGGGATTCTTAGCCACTCACCTTGTAGTTGATAATTGATAACGGCGACAACAAAAGTCCTAAAAAAATTGTTTTTTCTTTCTTCAAAAGAACTTGCGCGGCTTGACCTCTGTTCCTATTTTGGTCTGAAAATTTGCCTCTATTTACATATATAAGCAACAATATTGCAAAAAAAATGAGTATAGAAATCAGTTGGTAAACTTGTTCATGATGTTCGCAAATATTATTATACATTGATGACACTGTTCATTAATTTTATAATTTATAATTTGACATGGCTTCGGGATTATATCTTATATCAGATATGTCCGCTTTTCGGTTTTGCATCAAACATTGTTTCGTTTTATTAGGGTCTATGCGAGGCAAAAAAGTTTTTTTTCGAAGAGATCCCGCAGGGGTTAACAAATCTTCTTTCAAATTGTTCGGTTTGCTGCAAGAAATTGGAGGAAGCTTTATGCATTCCTCTTCACAAACTTTCCTTGTTGATCTTCTTCTATGAAGTTTTTCGTGCTTTGCTCTTAATTCCGATAAACCGTAAAACTCAGGCATACTTGTACTTCGCCTTTCGGGATAAACTTTGCTATCTGAATTGTCAAAAGTTTCCCGGAAAGAGTTTGTTATACCCACTTGAAATCCAGGAGATTTGCGGGTATTTGCCATCAACCTAGCGCCACTTGCAGTGTCCACAACGGGTAAAGATAGTCTTCGTTGCTCACGCTTTGGTTTGCAGCTGATGTCCACATTAATTGGCAAAATCTCGTCCAAGCTTTCATTTTCTTTAATGTAGCTATCATCGGTGTTATAATAATTTGAACCTGCCGGTTCCATGAGCGATTTGCGATCTAGAATCGGTTTGTTTATCCTTACATAGGTGGACTTGCTACAAATGGAAAAACATATGTTCGAGCCTTCATTTATGTTTCATTGAAAACATTTGCATTGTTATATAGAATGAAAATTGTCCTATTTTTAATAAAAAGAAAACAATTTACCTCGGAAGTTACTACAATGATGTTGTCTCGGGCAGACAAAGATTCTAGTACACGCCGCCAATTTCACTTGATTTTGAGAGCTAGCAACTTCATAAAACTCCTTTCATTCCAGCAGGATGCGCGGATGAAAATATCAAACTTCATTTCAAAATTACGAATTTTGAAGTTATTATAATGATAATCATCTGGTCCCGTAAGTTTTCTTGCTCGTCTAAGTGGACTTTGTGATTGGCTGGTTAGTGAATATTGATAAGCAGTGTTTGTTCCGAGGCCCTGCAGGTGCATTGGAACACCAACCAGGCTCCTTGTCGGTGGGCTTCCTGTGCCTAGGTGTTCCCAGGGATATTTCGTGATTTTTGCAGTCAACAAACAGCAAAGATGATTTATAACTTTACAACTCGAGGCTAGTGTGCGTTCAACTGGAAAATACTCCGCTAGATGATCAAGTAAATAAGCCTACGCTATTTTGTTTGCATAAACACATCTATTTATTTATCAAACTATCTTTTTATCAGCTTACAACTGACATAGAATGCGAGTCGATTGGTATTTGTTGAACACGTTCGAAAAGACTTAAAAGTCTTTGGTGTATAACACAGCGCTYTTCTTTTCAAAAACTGGGATGTACGATTAATAATTATCYTTAGTATATATGCATCTTGATTGGAGTCCTTGAGCACTTTCAGAAATAAATGAATTTCCCAATGTTGTAAAAGTAGCCAGAGGGAAAACAGATTTTTAACACTATTTTGATATGAGCGGAGATGTGCTTTTTCTTCTTTTCTACTCTCGCTCCACACGAWGCACAGAATTGGCAACACGCACCTGATGCGGCATATACTTGACCAATCAGAAACAAGTAAATAAGCATAATTGCCAATCAAAGATCAATTCAAGTGTTCCTGCCACAAAAACGCAGAAAACAAAAACGCGATTACATTGATTTTTCTCAGCTTGAATAGCAGCGCCAGAGCAAATCAAAGATGAGAAAAACTGCAGACTTTGTGGGAAAGTCATTTACCAAGCTGGGTGACCGAGATAAATCTCTAGAATGCAATCCGTTTTCAAGAGATTTGAAGTTGACGGGGTGGCATTTTAAAGTGCATGTCATCTATTCGTAGGAGTCATTTTTAATCAAAAAGCAACACGTTGCTTAGAAGCTATTCTATAAAGAAAGAAAAAAAATGATTTCGTGTTGTATCTTTTCGGTGATTTCGAAAACTGAAAACTCTGCAATTAGCAGATACGTCGAAGCCCGTCTAAAACTCGTGAGTTTTGTTTGGACTATTTCACAGTCTCCAGCTCGTCTTTGTAACCTCTCATAGTGAGATTTTAACGGCAGAACCCTCGAAATAATCACTGGGGTCAGAAATCGTCCCGTTGTATTTTGTACACTCGTCTTCAGTCTCTCTTCTCCACAAGGAACCTTCCAAATGGCGGATACCATGTCAATCACATTTTTCATGTTTTGCGTTCAGCATACTATCTTCAGTTTCCTGTTACTTTAGTTATCATAGAAATTAAGGAGATAGTATGTTGTGAACTGAAAAGTGTTCGCTTAAGGTTTCCGCCATATTGGATTCGACAAGATTCCTATGTAGAGGAGAGAGACTGATGACGAGTTTACAAAAGTACGACGGGGAGATAATGTTTGATATATATCATATATATATTTTGATAATTGTTTGATTCTTTGTACAACGGGTTCCCGGTGGAAAGGACATCACAGACATCAGGAGATTGTTCGGAAAGTAGTTTCATACTGACTGTCTGTCATCAAAAAGTTCAAGATGTATAAAAAAAGAGTTATTTTGTTGTTGGAGAAACGTTTACWGATTTTGTTTCTCACTGGAAGTGATTCTCTCTGGAAATCACGCAGTTTTGAGTTGGATTCTGTCCATGCTCGGTTGACGCAGTCGTTATGGGGGGGGTTTCGGGAGGTTCGGACGAATTCCACCCCCCACCCCTCCCCCCACAAGCTGGTGTTTCTCTTTTTTCGTTGTCCTGTTTTAATTTTTATTTTTTTGTTGTTGTTATGACTGTCATTTTGAGATGGTATTTTGTTGCGAACTGCCCATTCTAGCAGCCCGTTCTCACAGGCTATACCTGCGCATTGAGTTACCTACGGGCCTGTTTCAGATCCACTCTATCTAGTCTACAGTTAGCTTTTCTGTTTTCGTACATCCGTAAGTGTGTTGTCAACCTACTATGAATACCACTCAGTTTGCATGTCTTCGCACATTTTAATCGTGAAAATGCCTGAMGGTACTGTATTGTCACAAACACATGATGATCAAACAACTAGCACATGACATACTTGCAAGAACCTGGCAATGACGTAGTTTTATTTTTTTGAGGTGAAAACAACACAATTGCACAATTGCTGAAAATCGTGTGCTATAACAATAATAGTGCTTGGTGAACAGAGAAATCACTCCCGTGCATCATGATCAAAATCATGATTCGGCGCTTTGAGGTCTGCTTTTTAGATGGCATAATTTGATCAGATCTTTCAGCTCACGAAACGTGGTTTGATTGCCAACTTCACATTTGCTTTACTGATGCTTTTCTGTTTTCGTTTTTTCCTTGTTGTTGTTCAGTGTTGTTGTGGTCATCGTTGTTGTTTTTGCTGTTGTCATGTTTTTTTTTT